GGTCCTGGGGGGGTCAGTGTGTCTGCAGGGTGTCCAGTCCCGGTCCTGGGGGGGTCAGTGTGTCTTCAGTATCAAGGTCTCTTTAAAGCAGCAGTACCTGAAGAGCTGGGAGAAACTATTCAGTTGTGCCCATTAAGCTCAGTAGGCGCTGGGTTCGAACACAAACCTACCAGGTCCGGACTGGGATAAGCCCTGCCTTAAATGGTTGGTCGACCAGGATCATGAATACGGAATCAGAACCCAGTTTCGGGTCGCACAGCCCGGGCTCACCTGTGTCAGCAGTGTTGGGGTGGAACAGTGTGTTGGTGTAAGTCACGAACTGCAGCTGCCGGTTCAGGTTGGGCAAGAGGGCGCTGGCCAGGGACACGTGCATCTCGCCTTCACCTTTGAACTCCACCCCCTCCACCTCGGCCGCCACATCGAACGTCCCCAGCGTGGCTGTGAGGTTCACCTGGAAACACAACAGGGGTGACAACAGCTCAACAATCTCTAAAAGCCTCCTCTGCACCCTTGTACATTTTATTTACAGTGGGCCAGAAATGGGAGGCACAGTGGCGCAGTAGTTAGCTTTGCTGTCTCGCAGCGCTGGGGCCCTGGGTTCAATTCCTGGGGTGCTGTGTGTGTGGAGTTTGCATGTTCTCCCAGTTTGCTTGTTCTTCCTGCCATAGTCCAAAGACACACTGGCAGGGTAACTGGCTTCTGGTATGATTGTGTGCCTTTGTCTCTGTGTGGGTCCTGTGATGGACCGGTGTCCCGTCCAGGGTGTATTCCACCTTGTGTCCCTTGCTTGCCGGAATAGGCTCCACTGCAACGCTGAATTGGATACAGCAGTCACTCATTTTTTTTAAAGCAGGTAAAACATTTACATTTGACAGACGGTATTGTTAAGAGAACGCTTCACTAGAATCAATCCACAGAACCACGATCTGACTATTCCCAAAGTAATGTCCTAGACCAGTGGTTCTCAAACTGTGGTACGCGTACCGGCAGTGGTACGTGGAGTGCCGCCAAGTGGTACGCCAAATGACCCTGGAACTGTGTCGTGTGCGCTGAAAAATCGGGACGGGTTTTCATATTTTGTATTTTAATACGTGTCGAATACGCAGCCTACGTACTACGATACAGTGCGCGCTAATACTTCAGTGGACACAAGAGATACTCTGTAATTCTATACCACTCTGTAGGAATGCGTGCTACGGATGCAAGTGACCAATTGTATTTAAAAAAAGCTACTGTATCTCCAGCAGATAGGGAGGAAGGAGAATGTGCGTGATTTTGGAACAATGCCAACGTTGTAAACACAGGAATGCATAGAAATGCGTGCCACGAACGCAGGTAATCTTGTGAGCACACGAAAGCGTGATAACAGAAAAACATTGTAACGCAACGGGGGCTCAGGCGGGCGCCCTTGCCGCATTAGGTCGGCCCCTGCACCGTCCGGGGCTCGAACCCGGGACTTCCGCGTCTCTCTGCAGCGACCTAGCCCCGTGAGCCAAAGAGAGGTCTTTCCACAGCCCAGTAGCTGTGGTCCTGCTATCACAGGGAAGGGCGGTGACGTCACCCGCTCTGGTACACCGGCTCTTACACAGTGCCTGTCGGCCGTAAGCGTTACAATATTTAAGAACTGTTCTAATTTGAGAAAAATACACCGAGCGTCTCTGTGTTTCGCTCCCATGCGCATGAAATAAAAACTTTAAATAAATACGGAAATAAAAACGGAAACGTGGAAAAATGCAAGCTTGCGTATTGCTAAAGCAGATAAGCTACACTATTTTTGAAGAACCTTATTTACCGTTGGCAAAAGAGCTGACACGTATTATGTGTAGAGAAAAAGCTGCTAAACAGCTCAACCTGCTGCCCCCCTCCCCCTGAAAGACACAGTCATTCATAGAATTACTGAAATGAAGGATTATATCAAAAGTACACTGATAGAGCGCGTTAAGATGAGCAGATGCTTTTCACTGCAATTAGATGAGTCTGTAGTCGATTTGGCCAATTTGCTCGTTTACGTTAGATACGAGTTTGAGGGCATGTCCCATGAAGACTTTCTGTTCTGTAAACCGCTACCAACAGGAACTACAGGAGAGCACATATTTCAGCTTTTGAATGAATTTATCGAAGAGAATGGCCTCGACTGGATAAAATGCGTCTGAGTTTGTACAGACGGTGCTAGAGCAATGACAAGCCGACATAACGGTGTAGTTGCACGAATTAGAGAGGTTGCTCCAGAAATTTATGTACGCATTACAACATCCACCGCGAGACCTTTGCAGTCAAGAAAATGCCTGACCATTTAATACCTGTTACACTCGGTTGTGAATTGTATCAAGGCTCGAAAAATTAATTCACATCTGCTTTGCTCAACTAAACAGGCTCACCCCTCTCACTGAAATGGTGCTTTTTTATTTAAACACTTTGAGAAGCCACCTTTAAAGGCGCTATATCAAATAAAGTTTATTATTATAATATTTATTATATGTATGTGTGAGTGTGTGTGCACGCGCGCTCATGTTGGTCATTGAGAATTTCTGGGGTTCCTATGAGATCATGACTTGCAGGTGGTACTTGGATGCTTTGGTTGGATTAGGGGTGGTACTTGGTCCAAAAAGTTTGAGAACCACTGTCCTAGACTGACAGCCTGACGCAACTGAAACTCTTTAGCCTTGAACAGAAGACTGCAAGAGGTCCAGATTCAAGGATTTAAAATCAAAGGCACTGACCGGGTCTGCAAAGTGGATTTGTTTAGCATCTGTGAAACACATAACAGGGGGCACAAGTGGAAAATACACTTAAATCTCAGAACACTATGAATGTCTTTACACAAAGGGTTGCAGGAGTCTGGATCAAATTTCATTTTCGATGTTCATCCATGTCTAGATCAAGTTGTTGAAGTCGATACCTTGGTTTCGTTTACAGTAAGTGACTGGATTAATTAGGTACTAGCAACCCGCTTATCATTCGCCGCAAGCAACCCTTCAGCCACCAAGCTAAATTGGCCTCCTCTCTCCTGCAAACCTTGTGTTTGTGTAAACAATTTACACTGTATTTACACAGACTTTTGAAGAACATAACGAACAGAGCTTCAAAACATTCTCCATGCTGGTTGTGCTCACGTTGCGAGGGAATAAACAGGCCAAGTAGCAGTTGTCTCTAAAAAGCAGAATGCACGGAACATTAGCTAAGAGGAACTGAAAGGGATGTGGCTTGTTGTAAAACCTATTTAAAAACATTATGGTGTCCAATGCAAATAATTGCTGTCTGGGTCTACTCTAGTGTCCAACCTGTCAGTCAATGAACAAACGCCACTGCACCAGGCAGGGCGCACCAATCACAGACACACACACTCACGCCAGGTCCAATTTTCCCATCAGCCAATGAACCTACCGGCATGTTTCCGGACTATGGGAGGAAACTGGAGCACCTGGAGGAAACCCACCTAACAGAGGAGAACATGCAAACTCCACACAGACAGCACCCCAGGACTCAAAACCAGGGCCCCAGCGCTGTGAGACAGCAATGATAACCACTGTACCACTGTGCTGCCTGCAGTGCACAAGCACTCTACATTACTTTAGAACGGTTTAAAGGTCATGCCTTATATTTCCACCAGGAGCGTCTTTCAAGACATTTCAAGGACATATCATATAATAAATCCTAAAAGCGATGCTGAAAAACATTATTGCCTTATAACAGATTGACAACACATGCCAGTGAGAACGGGGTCATTATTAATACTCTATAATTGCCAGGGGTATTTCTTTATCCTGTTGCTCTATTTTGTTACGCACTGGGAAATAAATGCAAAATCAGTTTCCAAAGACAGAGGGATATCCGAGACCTGCTGAGTGCTCAAGATCTATCGGAACTCATTAACATTCAGTAATGAGTATTTCATTCTCAGTCTGGTTGTGTAGCATTCCAATTTCGCTTGTTCAGTGTGAAAACAGAACTCAGGCCTGCAGGAAGTCTAGCCTACTCTGCTCTAAATCCACATGGTTCCTTATTCTGGTTTCAGTTTCAGTGTGCCTGTCCTGTCAGATAGCTGTCACACTTCCAGCGATTTGATACAGGACATTCTGCAGAAAGCCGAAGTCATCCAGGAAAAGAGCTTAGGGGCAGCACTAGGTGCAGTGGTTAGCATTGCTTCCTCGCAGTGCTGGGATCCTGGGCTCAGCTCTGCTCCTGGGGTGCTGTCTGTGTGGAGTTTGTATGTTCTCCCGATGTTCGCATGGGTTTCCCCCCACAGTCCTAAGACAGAGGTGAATTGGATCATCCTGGGAAAACTGCCTCTGTTGTGTTTGTGTCTGTGTGTGCCCTGTGATGGACAGGCGTCCTTGCGCCCGTTGCTTGCTGGGATAGGCTACGGTTCCCCTATGACCCTGAATTGGATAAAGCAGTGAGATAATGGATCGATGGGAAAAGAGCAAAATAATTTTAATAAAGCTACAGCCAGGCTCTGTTTTACAGCAGAGGTGATGGGTGGGTGGCGTGGTGGGGTGAGAGGGCACCCCAATGTATGAGTCTGAAGTACACCCCTTCTTAAAAAAACCCAACAATAACAAAAGGCCAGCCAAGCAGAAGGTGAGCAGACGTACCGTGTAGGAGTCTCGCGACAGATCTTGCAGCCCCAGACCTGAAGGGACAGATGAACAGCCCATTAGAACAGCCCACCATCCCACCATGCACACAGAGGAAGGGGCATGGGGTGGCAGGAGGGCGCCTGGCCCACACAGCCGAGCCCCGCTGGGCCCTGGTGACTTAGCCGTGCAACACGGGGGCATGGGGGAGGGAGATTGATTGAACGGTTGAAAGGTTCCAAACAAGTAGGGCCATTCAGGACATAGATCGTGATTGCTTTTATCACCTAGTTGATAGGAGGACCTCATCCATCGCTTTCTTGAAAGAAAACAGGGTATCGGCTTCAACAGTACGGTCAGGTAGCTTATTCCACACTCCCACCACCCTTTGCGTACAGAAGAGTCTCTTTTTCTGGGCTTTAAATGCACTTCCCTGCAGTTTCCAGCTGTCTCCTGTCATGTTTCACAGTTCATTCTCAAGAAGTCCTCCAGGTGACTGTCCATACCTTTGGTAATTTTGAATGTCCTGTACTGGTCTATATTAAACATCACTAAACACCAGCAGCCATATCACTCTGCAACTCACAACTGGCAACCCACTGGAGCTCAGCAGGTGTGAGCCTGGTCAGTACCTGGATGGGAGACCTCCTAGGAAAAACTAAGGTTGCTGCTGGAAGAGGTGTTAGTGGGGCCAGCAGGGGGCGCTCACCCTGCGGTCCATGTGGGTCCTAATGCCCCA